CTGTGTCAGGTTATGATCCCCACCCTCATATCTGTGGTCCAGCTCCTCAGCCACATATCACAGTCACTGGGAGGGAAGCGGGTGGTGGCAAACAGGGTCCCTGTCCTCACTGGGTGGCAGCTGCTTGCTGGTGACTGCATGTGTCACATTCACAGAGCTGTGCACACACTTCAGAGGGTGGACGCCACCACTAAATCATACTTTAATACAAACAGATTAAAGACAAACCACAGCCTCCTCAGAACAGCTAATAAAAGCCCGATTAAAAAAAGAAAACGCCCAATTCTGCAGCAATCCCCTCTCCCTCTTCCTCTGTTGGGGGTCAGGAGGCAGTCACCATCTTCCTCCTCTGTGCCAGCCACGTGGCCATTGTGTGTCACAGCAGGCATGTGGGTAGATGCTATTGTTCTCCCCCTCTGCAGAGCCATGCGACTTATTTGGGTCCCTGAGGGCAGGCAAGAGAGAGAGAGGACTGGGGTTCGCCCCAATCCTGTGCCTCACAGTCTGGAATCTCCTCGTCCACTGCACATCTACATATGTTGGCACTGATCATGGGTAGCCCCACTTTCTAGGCTGATAGTCCCCAGGAATCTGGGCATCCCCAACCCTGTGTTGCTGCAGGTTGATGCTCGTGGTGTCTTTCAATAACAGGTAGTAACACGTTTTTATTTTTATTTTTTTGCGTTGGAGTCTCACTCTGTCACCCAGACTGGAGTGCAGTGGCCGCTCCCGGCCACCGCAGCCTCGACCTGCTGGGCTCCGGCGATCCTTCTGCCTCAGCCTTCCAAGTAGCTGGAATTACAGGCATGCACTACCACGCCTGGCTGATTTTTTGATTTATTGTAGAGATGAGGTCTCGCTGCCCAGGCGGGTCTCGAACCCGCGGGCTCAGGCAACCCACTCACCTCAGCCTCCCAAAGGCGCGGGATTACAGGCTGAGCCACCGAGCCCGGCTACGTTTTTATTTTTATTTAGTGCTCCCATTCTAAACAACACAGTCAATGATCTTGAGTTTTAAAAAATATTGGTTCTCCCCATTTGAAAAAGTGCCCCTCACTGTTAGCCATGAAGTCAATCCATCCACATGATGGGGACCCTGACTTCAGGGGATACAGAGTTGGTGAAAGCTGAAATGAAGAGAAGGTTGTGGTTATCCCACCAACCCCTCCCTGAGGAGTGGAGGTTTGTGTGCCCCGATTTCACAGGAACCCCAGAGCTCTTGATGGGCCTTTCTTGCCAGGTATACAAAGCCCTTCATTAGATCCTGTCACCGCTGCCCCATGACTTTCAGGACAAAGTCTTAATCCTTACACTGTCTCACAAGGCACTATTGGTTGAACTCCTGCCCACCTGTGTCTTCCCGCCTGCACACAGGTGATGGGACAGTTTCCAGTGTATGGTGCTGGCCCCCATGTACAGCATGGCAGAGCTGTCTCAGAAAACACAGACTCCTGAGGCTCTGAGGTCATGCTGTCATCCACTTGCAGTAACAGGGAGAGAGACACACAGGTGAGTCCCCACCTGCAGCCTGCAGAGGAGAGCTTCCAGCCCATACTGGCTGGGTCCACGCCTGGTGTCTGGGCAGTGCAACCAGAACATGTTGCACAGGGCGCAGCCTCTGTGTCAGCCGGGAGCACCTGAGAGGCGCCAGGCATGATGCTCTTGGTGGAAGGGAAGCCAGGTACCCGCAGGTGGGCAGGGGAGTGAGTCACCTTTGCTTAGAGATTGAGTGCTGACAAGAGGGGCAAGAATTCTGACGAGTGACAGCCTGTCCCCACTGCATTCCGTACTCCTTGACTGGCTGGAAAAATGGAGGCCCTGGCCCATCACAAGGTAGTAAACTAAAGGTAGTCTACAAAAGCAAGGCAAGTCCTGGCCTGCAGCTTCCGACTTCAACTCACAGAAAGCTTCTGCACGCAAACCATGAGAGGGGGCTTTCTGTACCCAGTGGTCACAAAGACGTTGGGGTGATGGTGATGACAACCCACAGCTGCCACCCCTGAACACAGTGGACGGACTGAGCACACCCGACTGGAGGCACGGGATGCCTCACCACTGTGAGTGGTCAGGCTCCAATAACCAGAAGGCTTTGAGTTGCAAAAAAGGCCCATCGGCAGGATTGCCCTCCCCAACGCACATGCGGGACTTGGTGCTGCAGGGTCAGGGGCAGTGTCCCTGCTCCCTTCTCATCAGGGATGGAGAGAACACAGAGCACAGAGCAGCACCATCTCCACCTTCCCACTGTCTCTGCAGTGTCTCTGTGAGAGCAGAGTTCACAGCGGGAAGGAACTGAACAATCAAAACTTCTCTCAATGCGTATCTCAAGTGGGAACTGAGTTGTAGAGAGGATAAATCACTCGGTAGGGCATGTTGGCTCATGCCTGTAATCCCAGAACTTTGGGAGGCCAAAGTGGGAGGACTGCTTGAGGCTAGGAGTTGGAGATCAGCCTGGGTAACAAAGCGAGACCCTATCTCTGCAAAAAAATAGAAAAATTCGCTGGCTGTGGTGGCATGCAACTGTTATCCCACCTACTTGGGAGGCTGAGGTGGAAGGATCCCCTCAGTCTAGGAGGTTGAGGCCGCGGTGAGCTGTGATTGTACCACTGAACTCCGCCTGGGTGACTCCAATTCAAAAAAAAATCGCTGCTCATGGGACTGCTGAGGCTGAGGTCTTCTGCCTCCTTGAACTGTTTCTCTCATCACCTGATGCTGCCTTGCCTTCAGCCACCGCCCACCAGTTAGAAAGGCTGCAGTATTTACATCAAGCATATCTTCCTCTGTGCTAACCTGGACAGCCGGGCATGAGCCTTGCCAAGACTCCTGGCTGGAGCACTCTTGCTTATGGGAGAGTGTGCCTGGGGCAAGTCACCGGGAGCCTGAGGAGGGGACCCTGTCCCCACCAAGCTGGAGCAAAGGCCCAGTCCCCCATTATCTCATCTTGCTGATGCTAGCTTGGGTGGTTCTCGGAGCTCAGTTCAACCATGCTGCCAGGCATGGGGGAACAAAGGAAGAATTCCGTTTTCAAAATCTCCAAGAAGTTTTGGTTACACAAGGCCCATGGACATGGGACTGGCTGACACTGGGTGCCCAAGGTAATTCTGCTGGGTAATGTCTGTGTGTGCACAGGTGTTTGCAGACCTGAGGGTTCTGTGCCTTATTAGGAATGCCCTACCCACAGCAGCATCTGTCCCACGTGGTACAGTGCGAGAGACACATTACCGCCATGTCTCAGTCACACATTCCTCCCAGTGGCAGATGTAGACCCCCAGGATGCCCAGCCCTGAAGACTGGCATGCCACCACGCCCACAGCCCTGGGGGACACGCTGGATCCACACTCATGACCATGTTCCTGTCAGTCTACTGGTGGTCACTTGAGGAGGCAAAGAATTAATGGTTATATGGATTATGCATACCCAAAGACAGCTGCAGGAAGGCCTGGCTAGACCCTGAAGAGCCTGGGTGCACTGGTGCAGGCAGAAACTGCTTATGTCTCAGCTCTGAGATCCTGGGTGGAGTCCCTTGCCTGGGTCCTACAACACTAGCGACAGGACAAGAACTCAACTCTCCTGCCTGTCCTGCATACACTGGGCGACTGCTCACCTGGAACACAGCGACTGCTGTGGCCTGACACAGCAGGCAGGGCCTGGATCTGCTCCCAGAGAGGAGCCCTGGCCCTGGCAGACATGGAACACCCCCTCAGACCTTTCCCTGCCCTCTTGGTCCTGCTGGATCTGCATTAGCCTCTGGTAGCCCCCATGTGCCCTAGGAGACCCCAAGTGAGACACCGCCTGACGGGCTGGCAGGTCCAGCTGTTACCAAGCTCCCCTGCCAGGAAGCTGGCCACTCCAGAGAGCAGAGGGTCCTGCCCCTTGTTGTCCCTTCCCCACACCTTCAGGACCGGGTCGGTCACACTCAGGAGACGCCTGTGCACGCTAGGCCAGGCAGAGACCCTGTGCTGCCCCTCCAGATGCCAGCAGCAGGGCTGTAGTTCTCCTGCGCCTCCACCTCTGCTTTCAGCAGAGCTAAAGCACTGCTTAGAAAGACTCTTTGGGGAAAGATGATTTTTTCCCTTGGGTAACATTTAAGTCAGAAGTTATGGTCTCTTACTGTGTTCACCCCACCTGCCTGTCTCCAGTGCGGCTGTCGACTGACTTGACGTGGAATGAAGTGGACGACCGTGCTGCCTCCTCTATCCAAAACCGGGCCAACTCCCATCCCTGGGCTTCTCCTCCTGGCTCCCCCCCAACCCGCCACCACAGCATAAATTGCTGCCTTAATGAGGCCTCATGCTCCCACATCAAAGGATCAGGGACAAAAAAATGACATCATCGGAGCTCAAGGGGTTTTTATCCTCTCTGCATTTTTATCACTGACCTGGTTTCATGCCTTGCAACAAACCCCATGTTACGACTCTCCAAGCCTTGTCTACTCACAGCTATCGGGCCAGGACAACCTAGAGACACATGTGACTGCAAGCAGGTGCTGGGCCTGGGGTGACAAAGCAGGTGTCCCAGGCCGTTGTTCCTGAGTCTCACCTAGCAACAAGAGCCGAAACAGATACAAAGGCTATGCTCAGGGGCATCCTCCTCCTTCCCCCGTCCCTCCCACTGGTAGTGCTCCCCCCACAGGGTTCAGTCTGCAGGGAGGAGGTCACCACCCACCACCACGCTCCCGAGTCCTCTTGCAAGCAGTCACTGTCACAAGTCACACACAGGTGGTCGTTCCTCTCTGGCTACCTCCTCCTTCCCACCCTGTGAGAAATGGCCAGGGATTTGGGCATGAGTCGCCACCTAGCCCAGTTCCCAGAGAGTCCTACCCCCATGGAGGCATCCTGAGAGCCAGAGTCTTGGGATGGGGAAGACACAGAGGAGTCCTGAAGCTCCCGGGACAGCATGGGACTGCAGGGAGGAGCTGGCTTGGATGGGTGCAGGTGGTGGCTTAGGTAAGCAGGAGATGTGGACGCTGGGCCATGAGGGTGGTGCTGGCCCATGCAGGTGGGCAGTGGGAGGGTTCTTCAGAAGGTAGTGGTCCCAGTGAGGGGGATGTCCTTGCGGTCAGGTTCTGGCGGCCCCGGCTCCTGCTGGCAGGTAAGTGGGGGGCACACACACCCAGGCCTGGCTCTGCTCTTGAGGGCGGTGGCATGGTAGTCCAGGGGCTCTTCCTCGGCGCCCCCGGTGCCACCCAGTAGGCAGCAACGCAGGCCCAGGACCCGCTGGAAGGACCGCCGGAAATTGTCAGACAGAAAGCCATAGAGGATGGGATTAGCGCAGCTGTTGGCATAGCTGAGGATGAGGGACACGTGGTTGACAGTGGCGTCCAGGCCAGTCACGAAGAGGTTCAGCAGCTGCACCACGTAGAAGGGCATCCAGCAGACCACGAACACAGCCACCACCGTCAGCACCAGCCGCGTGATCTTCTTCTCTGAGCGACGCCGCTGCTGCCAGCCCGCCCGCAGGGCCACGGCCCGCATCTTACCCACGATCAACAGGTAGCACAGTCCGATGGCCAGCACAGGCAGCAGGAAGCCCAGCAGGAAAGTGTAGACCACAAAGACTGCCGACCAGGCCGGGTGAGGCCAGTGCAGGTTGCAGGCCACAGCACGGCCGCCGCGGGCGGGCCGGGTGTCGGCGAAGACGGCGATGGGCAGCGTGACCAGCGAGGCAGCCAGCCACACGCCCAGGTTGACGAGCTTGGCCACGCGGGGCCGGCGGCAGGAGGCAGCGCGAAGAGGGTGCACCACGGCCACGTAGCGATCCACGCTGAGCACGGCCAGGCAGAAGACGCTGGTGAACATGTTGAGGCCGTCCACGCTGAGCACCGCGCGGCACAGCAGGGAGCCGAAGGGCCAGTGGCGCAGCGCGGCCGACGACGCCACGAAGGGCACGCTGAGCATGAACAGTTCATCGGCCACCGCCAGG